TCAGGTGCAGAGCCCCCCGTGTGCCAATTCACACACATACTCTCCAAAAACCCAGGCCCTCACAAGCACTATTTGCACAGCAAAGCCACTTTTGCAGGGCACTCAAGATGTGTATTTGAATTTTAAATGGAGGACCCTGCTCTAAGCACCAGATAGACGCGGCCCATTTTCAATGCCCCCTTTTACCACCCCAGCCTCTCGCCCTCTCTGTCTCGGTCTCTCTCTATCCAGATGACAATAATTCAGGCTTTTGGAGGACTAGAGGGGGGCCTGGAAGGGGAGGGGGCGGAGGAGAGGGGCTGTGCTCTTCTTTGCATTCCAATCTCCGGGATCATGCTTTTTGCAAATAGAGATTGAGATAAAGAATCTTCCTGCTGGAATTACAGAGGTTTTAATCTTCTCATCAGTTTCTCCGTCATGAAGTGAGCCTCTGACCACTGGAAACCAGATTTAGTTCCCGGAATGGGACCTGGTCTCTAGAAAACCCCATAGTAGAGTCACACGACCCTGCCTGACACACACTAGATATTACCCCCAAACCCCAAGTGTGTTCGGAATTTCAATGAGTAGCTTTCTAGGCCCTCGGAATTCTTCCTCTCCCTAGGAAAAATCCACAGGATAGATTATGCCTTTGCATTTGGGAGGAGGCTTGAAGAGAAATTCCTGGGGGAGATGCTTTGGACAGGGAGCAGGGGAAAGGGTGGAAAACCATTATGAAAAACAGAAAGAGAGGGCCTCAGAGGTCATTTCAGTGTCTAGACAGGATAACCTAGAGAGAGGCTCACTAGTTCCCCTGCAGGGTGAACATACTCAGATACCACCCTAGCCCACCCTTCCCAATTGCAATAGAGTTTTGGAAGTGAGAAACTTTCTCATCTCTGGATCCAAGGAAGTGAATATTTCTAATTTTCTTTCCCGTGCTGAACCCTTTCCCTCTGCTATAAATACACATACCACAACCACCCTCCATTTTCAGGTCCCCCCTCCCATACCCTCTTTCTGTTGTTGCAAAAAAAAAAGTCATTATTTTCTTTTCCCACTAAGTGTGTCTTGACACTTCTAAAATGTTTCTTAACTAAAAGATGCCATTAAAATACAGTTTAGAAACCAAGCAGGCAAAGCCAGGGAAGTGGAGAAAAACAACTCTTCTGAAATTCATCGTTAACTGTTTTGCTAAATGTGTCAACTTATGCTTAGAGGTGGAGAAACCTTTAAAAAGAGATCCCAAATGATGGGTTGAGGTTGGGTGCTTTCTTCTTCTACCCTCTAGCCCTCTTCTTCTTCTTCTTCTTTTTTTTTTTTCCTTTTCCCCATAGCTATTCCTCCTCTGTAACAGCATGTGGCGTTGCAAGCCCAGAGGAAAAAAAAAACAAAAAAACCACACATGTAAAAAAAAAAAAAATCCAACACTCTGGTTGGGGATATACCAGCTGCAGACCACAAGATGAAATCAAAGTTCTTGGCCCTCACCCATAGCAGTAAGTAATCTTAGCAGAGCTAATAATAATAATCAGGGCTTCCGAGCGTGTGGCCATCCAGATGTTTGGAAGCGCTAATGTTGGGTGCATACGAAAGCTCTGCCATTTATTTATATATTTACAATAGTTTCTAAATCCACAAACTTGAGTGCGAGTTCATTTAAAAGCAAACTCTGGGACCTCACCTTCTCCATAGGCTGGAGTATGTGGACTTGAGTATGGAAGGTTGGTTGTTAAGCCCTTTAGAGAAGGAAGAAAAAACCAATCTAGCCTGACTGGGCCTTCTTTTAAGTGGCTACACTGAGCCTGGTTGCTATTTGAATACCTTTGTTTAAGATATTAAAGGTATCCTTGTATGGCAGTCATTGCCCCTCACTAGGGGGTAGATCCATTCTGTTTCAATGTCCCCATCTTCTCCCCATTCCTATCCCTGTCCTCTTCTAGAGCTGGCTTAATGCAAGCTTGAAATCAGGAGTGAAGAGGATGGGTAAAAGGGAAGGAAGGAAGAAAGGAAGGAGGGAGAGAGGGGAAACTTCCTTACCCTGTCAAGGACCCATTAGAGTTTGGAAATGCTTGGGTATCTACATACTACAGAATCATTGTGTTGGGGGCAGTTCCTAGAATGGTGGGACTGGAAGTTGAAAGCCAGAGGTTTAAAGTAGAGGTGTTAGCCAATAACATCAAGCCCCTTACCAGATAAATTTCTTACCTACTCTCTGTCTGTCTTTCATCTCTCTGTCTCTTCTCTATTTCTCTGTGTCTCTCTGTCACACACACACACACACACACACACACACACACACACACACACACACAC